GAACCGGGGCCCTCTGGCGTCCCAAGCCAGTGCTTAACCATTGTGCCACTCGGCCGGCCCAAAAAGTTTCGTTCTTTAAATATACCTTCAGCGTTGATCTGGGGTTCAAACCGCTCCATTGTGACAGCTGACAAATCCTCGGGTTCGAGACTCCAAACACCAACTCCTTCTGCAGCCCCTGCTGCCATGGCGGCTCCCAGGGCAGTTGTTTCAGGCATTGAGGGCTTCACTGAAGGGAAAGAGATACATCAACATCTTTGTTTTTTTTTTCAGAGAACAAACTGATGGTTGTCAGAGGGGGGCTTTGAAAATGGGGAAGGATTAAGAAGTGCAAATTTGTAGTTACAAAATAGTCAAAAGGGTATAAAGCATAGCATAGGGAATACAGTCAATAATAATTGTATAAGGTGTCAGATGGGTACCAGGCTAGTCAGGGGGATCGTTGCATACACTATATAAATGTCCAAGCATATGCTGTACACCTGAAACTAATATGAAATAATATTGAACGTCTGTCACAACTGAAAAAATTTTTAATTAAAAAAAAAATCTTTGTATTTTTTTACATATGCCTAAAGAAAACAATTCTTCGGAAAAAAAACATTGCTTTCAGAGTTTAAAGGAATGAAGGCTTACTAACCTACTGGGATATACAGAATGTCTGCTTGTAGCTGCATAAGAATTTTGTTGTTGGTCATTCCTCCGTCTACCTGCAGATGACTGAGTGGAATTCCACAGTCACGATTCATGGCATCCAAAATCTTAAATAAACCAAGGTAATGAACATAATTAAACTACTGCATAGTAACATCTCTGAAAATGACAATCTTCTACTCAAAAACGCTCAAGAGTTTCCCAAAGCTTACAGGACAAAATTTAGACTTCTTATTCTGGTCTTCCAAGCCCTCTTGGCCACAAGCAACCTTTTCTCTCCCTACACCTCTGCACTCACCCTTATATCCAGCCAAACCAAACAACTCTATTTTATACTCAGGATTCCTGCCTCAGTGCCTTTATCAGCCCTTTGCCTAATATGTCCCACTCAGTATCCCCCCAACCGCAAAATGCCCAGTGCCTGGCAGATGATAGGAACTTAGAAGGTAAGGCCAGTCACGAAAACAAAAACTTACATTAATTAGATTAGTGTTTAGGCAGGGTTTGATTTTTAAGTATTTAATAAACTTTTAAAGTACTTAATAAATTTGTGACATTCATATATAATTTGTTTACGAATGATAAAATCAGATTACATGTAAGAAAACAAGTTCATATTTATTACCTCTCGGGTTTGGAAACAAACAGCTTCTAATGCAGCAAAAGCAATATGGCATTTATTGGTAAACTGAGTCAGCCCACAGATGATCCTAAAAGTACAAAGATTTTTAAGGTTAGAGGGATAAGTGTGACAAGAGTGATACAAAATGAGTCATCAATTTGAATAGCCCCGAATACAGAAAGGTTAGAATTGGTAGATAGAAAGGTACAGAGGGAAAAAATAGACATTAATAAAACAAAATAGGGCCGGCCGAGTGGAGCGTTGGTTAGGACTTGGCTTGGGACGCCAGCTCTGAGCAGCAGGGCCCTGGTTCGGATCCCACATATGAGGGCCAGTGACACTGCGCCCTCTATAGCTAAGATAGTGAACAACAGCTCGACCTGGAGCTGGGCTGCTGTGAGTCACTGGCGATGATGGCATAGGCTGCAGTGGTGCTGGCCAGCAGCGGGTGTGAGCTTTCATGAGTTGGCCGTCCAATGGCCAGCAAGCGACTGCCTCACCCAGGAAGAGCACAATGATACCAACATGGGCCAGTGAAGCAATGTCCTCTACAACTAGACTGAACAAAAGGATAGCAACTTGTCTGTTCCCCTTCCCTGATACCCCAACGCTGTTCCCCTCCCCCAATTCTCCAATAAAATCTTTAAAACAAACAAACAAACAAAAACAAAATAGGGGCTGGCTGAGTGGCTCAGTTGGTTAAGAGTTGGCTTAAGAGCGTGAGCTCTGAGCAACAGGGCCGCAGGTTTGATTCCCACATGGGCCAGTGATGCTGCGCCTGAGCTGAGGTGTCGCTGAGCTGCCAACAGGTGGCAGAATGGCTTAGCTGGTGTAACAAGAAGATTTCCTGTTCGATGGTGGGCTATGCCCACCACAACTAAGACTGAACTTGGCACCTTGAGCTGAGCTGCTGCCCAGATGGCTCAGTGGATAAGAGCGTGTGCACTTAACAAGGCTGCTGGTTCGATTCCCACATGGGATGGTGGCTACGCCCACCCACAAATAAGGTTGAACACAGCACCTTGAGCTTAGAGGCCACGAGCTGCTGATGGAAAGCCAGATGGCTACTGGCACCCTCCACAATGAAGACTGAAGAACAACTTGGCTGGTCCTCTTCCCCAATTCCCCAAAACTCTTCCCTTCCCCAATTCCCAATAAAATCTTAAAAAACAAATAAAATAAAACTGGACATAAACATTAAGTAGTTTGAGAAGTCCTTGGGGTCTACAATCCTACCTCCACATATAAAAAAGTTCATGATCCATCTGAATAGATGACAAAAATATAAAACCAAAGCAGTATTCACCTAGAGGATGTCTCTGATGCATAACTTGCAGATGTTTTGAAGAGAAAAGATCATAACACTAACATGAATATGGATATGGTGGGGGCTCATTGTCAGACAATTTATAACTTCTTGGAGGTTAAAGGTTAAGAAATTATACTCTCCAGATAGAAAAGGTTCTGAACAGTTTAAAATCCTTTGAAAATAGATAGGAAACTATTAACTAATAACTTATCAGACTCACAAAAGCATACCTTATTTTTAATTCTTACCCTCTTGCACTGGGATCCCAGTAAGGTGCATATAGCCCTGAAAATGCTGGGACGAAATAGCAGCCATAGGAAGTCCCTACTTCTTTAGCAAGTTTTTCTAACATTAAAAAAAGAAAAACAAAAACAAAAATCACTAATATATCCTACTTACTTCAGTAAATAAACACATCTATTTAAAAAATTTGGACCAGGCTTTTAGTTTCCTGTTCATTAGTAGAGCAAAATGTTCCTAAAAATAGCAGTGTGCTATGTTTCCCGACATTGGCTACCACCACTAAAATGTGACCCAGCCTAAGAAATAAGGAATTGGATTAGTTTCGTTAAGAAGGGATTTTAGCTCATTTCCACTATTTTTAAGGTTGCTGACTAAAAGATGAAGAAGTGGCCTCCAGTACATCTCTAATCAAAATGTGTTTCTGATGATCTCACCTTCAGGCAAAATTTAACAAGTTAGATGAAAGAGTGGGTAGGTGAGTTCCAACTAATTATCCATAAACTGAAAATAGCCATATTAATACTTAAATTATAGGTATTGGAATTTTAATGCTCACTCTAACCTAAGAGTTAAAGCTCTTTCACATCAGATGACTTTAGCTGGACCACTTCACCTGCAGATTCCGGCACTCTTTGGCATCCAATTTTACACTTGGGTAATTTTTATGTCCTATCTTGCCAGTGTATTAATAACCACCACTAAATATGTCAAGTCGTTGTTTTATAAATCTTCACAAAATAGTCTTTTATGTATAAATCATACTCATAATAGGGATCCATATAATTTAATGTTGCACGTGGGGCAAAAGCACAAGTATGAACAGATTGCAAAGGTACAATATTAAAACTTCATTATTTAGATTTTAACGCTTTAGTACAACATACTCACCAATCTCGTCTGAGCTCGATATAATTCCAAGATTGTCTCTTAGCCAGCGAATAACAGCACCAGCTATAGCTACAGAACCCTATGGGTAAAATAGGAATTCACAAGAAAATATACGTTATCACTATAACAAGTTTTTATTGAGCCTATTCTCTGTGTATGACACTACCAGATGGATAAAATTCAAAATTTCAGCTTTGGGACTTCTACAAAGAGCATAAAGTAGGTCTTTTAATACAAACATAGTTTTATCCAGGTCATTATACAAGTTTTTCATGAGACAGGGACCAGAGAGCCCTCCAGCATACCCTTGGACCCGTCTCCATAGGTGGGTACCAATGTGTTGAGCAGTTTGCTTCTTGCACAATTGTTGTATCTATTGCTAAGCTACTAAGGTACATTATCACCTAGAATACATCCCCATCTTATCCACAAAGTTATGGGGAGAGGCACATTAACAATTCTTTTCAAGTCCATTTCCCATATCTAACACTATGTTAAATCAAGCAAAAACATAAAAAGTTAGCAAAGAAGCTAACTACAAATTAATAAAGTAAGTACTCTTGTTTTTTAAGCTGAGCCATCTTGCCACCTGTTGGCAGCTCAGCAGCTGCTCAGCTCGGGCCAGGAATTGAACCACTGTTGCCCAGAGCTCAAACTCTTGAGCAAGCTCTTAACCAACTGAGCCACTCGGCTGGCCCAGTAATTACAACAAAATCACCAAGGGATTGGGCAGAGGAGGTGGCAATTAGGAAGAAAACATACGATTTGGAGTGAGAAGAACCACATTTGAGTCTGAGTTCTAGCTCTTAATTGCTGTGATCTTAGGCAAATTCATTAGGCTTTCTGAGCCTCCTCATTTTTTTCACCTAGAAAATGGTGGAGACTATAATAACACCTACCTAAACAAACCACTATGAGGCTCAATATGAGAATATATGAGATTATTACTGAATGTAAATATCAGCTTCGTTAATGTTTTAAGTGTTAAGTTTCCACTGACTGATGAATGCATAAATAAAATGCAGCGCATGAAAAAGAATGAAGTTCCGCTACAACATGGATGAAAACATGTGAAGTGAGGGGCAGCCAGTTAGCTTAGGTGGTTAGAGCGCAATGCTCGTAACACCAAGGTTGCCGGTTCAATCACCGCATGGGCCACTGAGTTGCGCCCTCCACAACTAGATTGAAACAACTACTTGACTTGGAGCTGATGGGTCCTGGAAAAACACACTGTTCCCCCCAAAAACAACAACAACAACAAAACATGTGAAGTGAAAGAAGCCAGTCACAAAAGGCCATCTATTGCATGATTCCATTTATATGAAATGTCCAGAATAAGCAAATCCATAGAGACAAAGAATGGATTAGTGGTTGCCTAGGGTTGGGGTATTGCAAATGTGTTCAAGTTAGATTGTGGTGATGGTTGCACAACTCTGAATATACTAAAAACCATTGAGTTGTACCCTTTAAAAGGGTGAATCATGAGATATGTGAATTATATTTCAATAAAGCTGTTATAAGATCCTGAGGGCAAAAAACGTATTAGCACAAACCATTAGGAATTCTAAAAAATGTTTCTGATGTTTCATGCACATAGACTTTTTTTTTTTAATTTTACTGGGGACCAGCCATGGTGAGGAGGGCGCAGCTCACAGTGGCTCAAGCGGGGATCAATCCGGCAACCTCAGTGTTATCAGCACCATGTTCTAACCAACTTTGAGCTAACTGGTCATACCCACATAGACTGTTAATTTAAATTACAGGTGATATTAAGTGTAGGAAGCTGAATGTTGCCTACCTCCCTGTTCCCAATTCAATGAAATGAATTATAATACAAATGATCACCCCTTCTTGCTGTGAGTTTTCAGGATGCAAACGAACTCGATGCTGTATATGTTGATATATTCTATCATTCATACTTTATATGAGAACAAGTCACTATATGTTCGTGCAAAGCTGTAGATCACTACAATTGTTCTCTTTGTACAGTGGCCTTTTAGCTGTAAAAATTGATTTGAGAAAGAGATTTGACATCACTGTGCAAATATAACCAGGCTTTAAAAATGGAACAAAGAAAATTCAACAAATACCTTATAAGGGACACTAACAATGTCTCCCTCCCCAAAATAATTTCTTAATACACTTCCTGGGCCGGCCAAATGGGGCGTTGGTTAAGAGCTGGCTTGGGACACCAGCTCTGAGCAGCAGTGCCCCAGTTTGGATCCCACATGAGAGCCAGTGACACTGCGCCCTCTACAGCTAAGATGGTGAACAACAGCTCAACCTGTTGCAGTGGGCTGCCGTGAACGGCCGGCAGCCGGTATGAGCTGCCAAGAGCCGCTGTGAGCGGCCGTCCAGAGGCCGGCAACCAATCTGCCTCAACTGGGAAGAGAGCAATGATCACGATACCAACATGGGCCAGTGAAGCAACATCCTCCACAACTAGACTGACGAACAAAAGGACAACAACTTGTCTGTTCCCCTCTCCCAATTCCCCAATAAAATCTTTTAAAAAAATACACTTCCTAACTTTGATATTTTACATATTTAGGTACTTAACAGGACCGTCAAGGAGAACTAAGTAAACTTGTTGCTTAGAGACACAAGAATTTTACTCTCAACAATTCAGAGACAATAGTTGCCAAAGAATAGTAAATATGTAAGACTTTCTAGACTAGTGCTGTCCAATAGAAATATAATGTGAGCCACATATCTAATTTAAATCTTCTAGCTACCATATTAAAAAAGTATAAAGAAACAGGTTAAATTAATTGTACTATATTTTGTTTAACCCAATATATTAAATATATTATCACTATAACATGTATTCAACATAAAAATTATTGAGATATTTTATATTTTTTTGTACTAAGTCTTTGAAATCTTATACTCACAGCACATCTCAATTTGAATTAGCCACATGTGGCTAGTGGCTACCATATTGGACAGCATAGTTCTAGATCTAATTGAAATTAAAAAACAAAAACAGATGTTCCTTCTCCTTATACTCTCAAAAAAACAATTATCCGAAATGGCATGTAACCAAAAAAATGTGTATATTTAATAGTTTTAGATGAGTAAACTATGAATTTGAATAAGCCATTGTGCTGACCCACGGAAACTGGGAGATAATAAATGGGCATGGTTTTAAGCCACTTACATTTGTGGTAATATTGTTATACAACAATAGTTAACTAACACATAGGCTGATACCTCAAATGGAATAGCTGGTTCAAGAGGGATGAAAAACTCTTAAAAAGAAAATCTTAACACTATAATTATATATCAAACCAAAGAAGAGATGGGGGAGAGGACATTTAAAAAACCATTGAGGGGAGGGGAGGATATAGGGAACCCTCTGTGAAGCGCATATTTAAATAGACATAAATAGCATAATATAAGATTTGGTACGTAAACAATATTTACTGAGTGTCTTCTACATGTCAGTCCACTGGGATGGAATGGTGAACAAGACAGACATGTATCCTGGCCTCAGGGAATTTATATCCTAGTGACAGAATACAGAACACGGAAGTCTCAAATCCTAAGTAAGCTCAAGTTCATAACCATATTAAAGGCTCCCAAAGGATTCTGTTTTGTGAAATAACATTTAGAAAAAAATGAACAAGGAAGAAACACAGCTTCAGGAAGATAGTGCACTTTAAATAGAAGGCAGAGGAAAAGCAGAACTACTCAACTGCCCTATTGCTTCAGTTTCTTCTACCACCAAGAAAAAATTTTCAGCTAGAAAGAGTGGGATAAATTCCAGCAGTTTAATATGTGTTTCAAGTCTTAGAACAACTGAAGGGCCATGTGCCCCAATTCTTTTTTACTGAGAATGAAAATAGGAACCTAGAGATATTAAAATGTTAGGCCTGGATGAATCACATGCCAGAGAGTAGGGAGAGAATGAAAGAGTTGTCTTGGTGGTGAAAAAGAGATGTTCACATCAATAGAAATGGTCAGTTTGTACTTTAAAAATCCCCCTCTCTTTTAAACACAGAGGATCACAGGCCAAATGCAAAAAGAGAAAACCGAAACACATGCTGACTCAAATACAGAAGGGCGTCTATGTGGACAGAAACAGAAGTGCACGACTGAGCAGGACGTGAAGTCACAGCATGATGGGTTCTGATTATTTTTCTGTGCGTGTCAGGGAGTGTGAGTGGTGGCCGGAAACTGGCTCCTCCAGAGAAAAGGGATCCAAAGTGTTTTGTGTAAGACAAGGTACTGGAATTGAATCAGCTTCAGTGCTTGAAGCCAGGGCTAGGTGGCGCTCTGCCACCAGTGTAATAATGCTCAAAAACTGTCTACTGGCTGGCTGGCTGACTAAGGCTACGGCTTAATGGAAGACGAGACAGGAAGTGAAAATTCCAAAATACAAAAAGAAATCTATTATTAAGACATCAGTAAACAAAACTTAACGGCTGGAATAGAATCCACTCCAGCCCGACAAAGACTTTAAAATAAGTATATGTGCTTAAAATATCCAAAGAGATAAATTAAGGTACAATTTCCATTTTTAAAAATACCCGAAATTAAGAATCAAAAGAAAAAGGAAATAAAACAAACTCAGGTGGATATGCAAAATAACCAATTAAAAATCCTAGAAATGAAATTACTGAAATTAAAAATGTAATAGGTGGGCTCAACTATAGAAGAGACAGAGATGATGAGTAAATTAGTGTTCCCATATACTGCTGGTGGTATTTTCATACGGTAATGAAAAAGAATAAAATGATAGCTATACCTAACAACATGGATGAATCTCACAAATGTCATGTTGACTGAAAGAAGCCAGATCAAAGAATACATACTGTATGACTCAGTCTCTCTTGCTTTCTCTCTATTTTTAAAATATCAAGTATTTAAAAAATGCAAAACTAAACTCTGGTGTTTAGGGTTGCATATATAAGTGTTAGCACTATGAAGAAACTTAAGGAAGTGATTATATTTATAAGAAAAGTGAGTGTAGTGGTTGCCTTAGAGGGAGGGAGGAGGCTGTGATTGGGAGGGGCATATAGGGGGTTCCTAGGTGTTACCAGTTGTTTCCTGACCTGGGTGAGGTTACATGGGTCTTTATAATAATTGGTTAAGCTGTACATTGATATTTTATGCATTTTCCTATGTGTCTTATATTTCACAATAAAAACATTTTGTTTTGTTTTAAAGTGAGAATTTGGATACATAAGGTAGATACTGAGAAACTCACTAGGAATGCAGCACAGAGAAACCAAAGAGAATAAAAAAATATAAAAAGGCTGTTAAAAGATAGCGAGGGTGGGTTGAAAGATTCCAATATCCATCCAATAGCAATTCCAGAAGAGGATAAGTAATGGCAGAGAAGCAATATTTGAAGACATCATTGGCTAAGAATTTTCCAGAACTGAAGACAGACTTGTATCCAAGTATCTAACACGGTAAGTAAAAATAAATCCCAACCCAGGCACATCCTAGCAAAACTACAGTACATCAATGATAAGAAGATAATGTTAAAAACACCCAGATAATAAACAAGATTATCTGCAAAGGAACCACAGTTAGATCAGAGCAGCAGAAATCTCATCAGCATCAAAAATGGCCAGAAGGGATGTGGGAAAAACAACTTTTAATCTAAGATTTTTTACCCACCCCACAGAGAGGGCAATATAAAGACAAATCTAAAAAGAACAGGATTACTACCCCAGACTCTTAATAAAAGAACTATGAGAGGATGTCCCTCAGCAAGAGAAAGCTAGGGGTGGGAACATTAAAAGTGAGGGACCAAAGAGATGATACTGGGCACAGAAATTGATAGTCAATAAATATGATTTACTATTGACTGAAAATAGTAGTAATTATTACAAGTTTAACAAAAAGGGGAAATAAAAACTTTAAATGCAATAACCTGATTACTGGTGAAGGGTAAAGCATTAGAGGATCTCATCATGGCTAGGAGGTTAAAAATAATAAACAACTATAAACACTCAGGAAAATATGGAATTAAATAATACCTTAAAAATTTAAAGGTACTACAAAAGAAAACAACAACAAAAAATTATTATAGAAATGCATGTTGGCGCTTCCAAATCAGCAGAAGAAGAATAAAAGATTAAAAGCTAAGATGGATAACTATAGTTTGTTTTTATTGTTTGTTTTTGTTTTGAGATTTTATTGGAGAATTGGGGGAGGGAAACAGCGTTGGGGAATCGAGGAAGGGGAACAGACAAGTTTCTGGTTGCTGTCCTTTTGTTCTTCAGTCTAGTTGTGGAGGACGTCAATTCACTGGCCCATGTTGGTATTTTGATCATTGTGCTCTTCCCGACTGAGGCAGATCGGTCACCGGCCACAGGACGGCCACTCACGGCGGCTCACGGCACCTCACACCAGCTGCCAGCCGCTCACGCTGGCTGCCAGCCCACTGCAGCAGGAGCTGAACCTAAACCGTCGCTGGCGACTCCTGGCAGCCCAGCTCCAGGTTGAGCGTTGTTCACCATCTTAGCTGTAGAGGGCAGTGTCACTGGCCCTCATGTGGGATCCGAACTGGGTCCTGGTGCTCAGAGCTGGCATCCCAAGCAAGCTCTTAGCCAACACGCCACTTGGCTGGCCCCCACTTTCTACCCTTTTTAAAAACTGAAATTAGGGCCGGCCGAGTGACATTTCGGTTAAGAGCTGGCTTGGGACACCGGCTCTGAGCAGCAGGGCCCTGGTTCAGATCCCACATGAGGGCAAGTGACGCTGCACTCTCTACAGCTAAGATAGTAAACAACAGCTCAACCTGGAGCTGGGCTGCCACGAGTCACCGGCGATGGTGTAGGCTGCAGTGAAGCTGCAGTGGGCTGCCGAGAGCTAGCATGTGTGGCTAGCAGCTGGTGTGAGCAGCCGGCAGCCAATCTGCCTCACCTGGGAAGAGCGCAATGATAATACCAACATGGGCCAGTGAAGCGACATCCTCCACAACTAGACTGAAGAACAAACAAACAAAACAAGACAGCAACTTGTCTGTTCCCCACCCCCAATTCCCCAATAAAATCTTCAAAAAAAAAAGGGTAGAAAGTAAAAACAAGTTTTAATACCTCAGATTGCCAAGCCTAACAATAATCGGTCGAATTAAAAGAAATGAGTATCAGGCCGGCCGAGTGACTCGGTGGTTAAGAGTTGGCTTGGGAATGCGAACTCTGAGCAGCAGGGCCACGGGTTTGGATCCCACATGGGCCAGTGACGCTGCCCCCTCTACAGCTAAGACAGTGAACAACAGCTCGACCTGGAGCTCGGCTGCTGTGAGTCGCCGGCGACAGCATAGGCTGCAGTGGGCTGCCATAAGCCACCGTGAGTGGCCAGCAGCTAGCGTGAGCTGTCATGAGCTGCCGTGAGTGGCCGTGCAATGGCCGCTGACCAATCTGCCTCACCTGGGAAGAGCGCAATGATAATACCAACATGGGCCAGTGAAGCGACGTCCTCCACAACTAGACTGAAGAACAAAAGGAGAGCTGCCAAAAGCCACCGTGAGCGGCCGTCCAGTGGCCGCTGACCAATCTGCCTCACCTGGGAAGAGCACAATGATAATACCAACATGGGCCAGNACCTGGAGCTGGGCTGCTGTAATTTGCCAGCGACAACATAGGTTGCAGTGGGGCTACCGTGGGCTGCTGTGAGCTACCGTGGGCTGCCATGAGCAGCCGTCCAATGGCCAGCAACTAACTGCCTCACCCGGGAAGAGTGCAATGATCACAATACCAACATGGGCCAGTGAAGTGATGTCCTCGACAACTAGACTGAAGAACAAAAGGATAGCAACTTGTCTGTTCCCCTTCCCCGATTCCCCAATGCTGTTCCCTCCTCCAATTCTCCAATTAAATCTTTAAAAAACAAAAATAGAAAATATAGAGAAGAAAAAAGTCCTATCTACTATTATTAACATATTAGTGTGTGTGTGTGTGTGTGTGTGTGTGTGTACGAGCGCGCATATGCGTGCATACCACGCAGAGATTGGAGCCGTGAATATCCATATTTACAAAGAATGAGACAGCACAGTGGGATAGCCTAGGCTTCGACTTTGAAGTCCAATAGTCTAGATTTGCATGCTGGATTGGTTACTTACCAGCTGTCAAAAGTTATCTTGGCCAAGTAATTCCGATTTTGCTTGTCTGCTCTTTGATTTGTGTGTAAGACAAAGGGACAGCAGGGTATAGCAAAGCCTGTTGACTGTCATCTAATCTACTTTCCCTCTCAGCTTTACACTTTTATGAATCTAAACAAAAATTACATGAATTAAAACAAAAGTCATAAAGCATATGTGTGTTAAATCTCCAGATGAGACAAAACTGTAATAATAGCAGAGTCAAGAGTGAAAAATAATTCTGACTGTGTCAGAATAGGCTGAAATCACTATAAGGAAATTTAAGAGGAAGAAACAAAGACCTGAATTTAGATTAACAACAGATCTTCTGTTATGGAGCAGACTTGGCTTGACAATGATACATTTGAAAAAAAGCTAGATATTTTAACATGTACTCCTGGAGCCAATGATATAATGGGGTCATCAGACTAAATTAATGGACTCTCAGGCTAGAGTAGCCAAAACAGTGTTTATGGTCACAGATGCTCAAATCACACTAGCGAATACAGATCAGACTGCATGTGGAATATTCTATTCTATTCTGGAAGACACTGGCAAATTGGAATGTATCTAATGAAGGGAGCCCAGAACTAAAAAGCATCTAGGAATCATGTACCATTAGGCCACTGGGGAAGTTTTTCCTAGAGTAGAAGACCCAGAAAAACTGATAGCTGCCTCTTAGTATTTAAATGTCTTTGAAAGCCGACCTACATCCGTTGGTTGAGGTGATAATGAGAAGCAGTTTTTGGTGCTATTTTCAAACCGAAGTTGGAAGCCCATAGGCAAAGACAGAAGAAAAGGCTTTCCATATTGGGAGAAGTTAAGGCCAGGCAACCCGTATCCCCCAAGTCCTTTCCAGAGCTCAGGTATCTAAAATTCTGAACGACTGGTTGTCTCTGATATATGGAAGAAAGAGAGCAGCTTACTATTATTATTATTATAAGTAATACATATTCGATGTGCCTAGTGCTGGACTAAGCACTTTCCATGGAGGGAACAGAGGGAGAGAAGGCTTGTAAGTTCTAAGAAGTATTAAGACATCTTTAATATAACAGACCAAGCATTTCCCAAATGCTCCTATTAATCCAGAGAAAAGGGGTTGAGGGAGAGGTTTCAGTGCTTATTATAGGGAGAGGACAAGAAGAAACTGAAATAAACTAAAATTCCTCCTGTTTTAGGCATAAAAACTAATAAAATGTTTCAACTAAAAACAAAAGTCTAACATGTGTGACCAAATTAGTATTAGATACTACAGGAAAAACAAGTTTTCAGATCAGTTGTATATTTGCACATTACTAGGGAGCCATTTAAAAGTAATTGTAAAGAAATGCTTTTAAGAAATATATCTGATTTTGCTAAGAGTGCTGCTTCTTTGACTTTACAAATAAGTTTCTAATACAAACTCACCAAGCCCTATAGACTTACGCTGACATATTCCTACTAGAATTTACAAAAACTGCTTGAAACAAATGCTTCTAGTGAGAAATGGCATAAATCTCGCCACACTTGCTTTCCCACATCAAAATGTGACATGAACTTTATTGTCATGGGGAGACACATGAAGAGAGTGCTCTGCCTTTTCGCACCCAATAGTTCTCTTTGGAACACTGGGGCATTGTGTTTACAAAAACAGAATTTTCAAGCTGAAAGAAATATTAGAGAGCAAATCAATGTCTCCTTAAACTTTAGAAATGGAAAATCTTACATTCCAAAGCAGCTAAGTAATTGCAAAGTGGTTAAGGTCCCACAATTAATTGGTAAAAACTGAGGAGCGATATATTCAAGGTCTCCGAGGAGTCCCGACCCCCAGTTCAGTCCCAGGTTCCTTCCACTCAACCAAATGTCTAGAAGAAAACCGAGTTTTTTCAGTCCTACATATTAAGTGGTAGAAAACACTGTGATTTTCATTCGTTTTAAATGTTTGTCATATTATCCATATTGATTGAAAAGTACTTACTTCCAACGCATAATATACCGGTTTGTCTCTGCCGAGTTTGTAAGCCACTGTGGTCAGAAGGCCATGATCAGAAAATACACACTGTAGAAGAAAAGGAGAAAGGTTTTAGTAGTTGTGAAAATAAAAAGATAGCATTTTTTAAATTAAAGTTTATTGGGGTGACAATGGTTAGTAAACTTACATAGGTTTCAGGTGTACAATTCTGTAATATATCATTTATGTATCACATTGTGTGTTCACTGCCCAGAGTCAGTTCTCCTTCCATCACCATATATTTGACCCCCTTGACCCTCTTCTACCACCCCTCCCCCCTTACCCTCTGGTAACCACTACACTATGATAGCATATTCTTTAAAGCTAAAATAACCTAAGTACAAAACAATTTAAAAAATATAACAACAACAAAATCTTAGTCAAACTTACCAGTGTTAAGAACAATATACTTAGTATAAAAAGTTTATCTCTTGTTCCAAATTAGATTTGCATTAAGAATTTGACACGGTCCTAGTGTACGTATCCCACCAACACAATTAGAAATACATACAAAATTCAAAGAATTAGAATGGTTCTTATGAGCAGCATTCAAATTTAGCGATTTTCATCATTTTTATTGAGCTCTTAATTAAACCCTGATAAAGATGAAATAAAAGCTGCAGGCTCAAAAGTAACTTAATAGCAAATTATGCTCGAGCATTATTTATATGAAGTTAAAGAAGACTTTCATCAATCTTTTAATTTGAAAAACCAACCTTACGGCCTGTATTACATAGTAAGAAGCATCCTGTTCCATACCTACAGATGGGGGAAGAATGAAAGTACGTCAATTTTATTCAAATTAAGTGGTGAAACATTACTAATCTAAATTATTTAAATTGACACTTAGAACAGTAAAAGTCATTATATTAAAGTTTTAGAAAAGTTCCAAAAGATGACAAACATCACATATTCTCTGGAATGATGCTTTAAAGATTAGTCTAGAAGAAAATATGCTTAGCACAATCTTAATGGGAAAATGCAGGTATAGTCTTCAGCACTCAGTCAGTCAGAGCCCGGGGCTGTGTTTATAAAATATCACTGAATTACAAGGAATTCTATATTCAGTCACAGGTATGTTGCTAACTAATCCATGTGGAGCGAAGTGACTAAGAGCCATTCACCAATGGGGCTGGCCAGCTTAGCGCTGTCATTAGTACAGTCATACACAGAAACGCTGCTATCTTCTGGCACAAAGAGGAGAGTGCAGGGAAGTGTATCTGGGCCTGAGGGCCAGGAGCTGCATAGAGGGGAAGGCTATTTATGGCCTCGCTTTCCCATTGTCTAGGCGGGATCAGGCATTCGAAACAGTGGTGAGAGAGTCCTCGGGTCAGAATGTAACATGGGTGCCATGGAAGCACTGCATTTATTTTGTGGCAGTTTTATCAGCATAAGCTTTGGACTCTGCAACAAGTCTGGCATGTGGACATGAGTGAGTAGATTTGACTTGTGCCAGGCAGATAAGCAGCCCGAACTGATACCAGTAAGGGTCACAGGGAAACAGTTTTCAACTGCGTTGGCTGCGACGGTCACCCTTGGCTTTCCACAAGCTGTCCAGCCCCAGCTCAGGATTCCCTCCCCAGAAGCTACTACCAATCAGCCCTAAGTCAAATAGACCCCATCAGCTGCTTTTTTGTCTTGGGGAGCAAACAGAAACCAAGGGCAATTTTTTTTCCCTGGCACCATTGTTCTGAATAAGAATTAGCCCAAGGCATTCTCTCTCTTCTCACGCAAATATGTCCTCAGCCTGCTTGATGAACAGCTGACACATTCAGGGAACATGAGATTAATGACTACCTAAGTTTTAGAAGACATCAGTCAAATAACATGAGGTACAGGTAATAATACATTTACAAATGGAAATACATAAATCACTATAACTTTTTACTTCCATGATACTGAAAAAACCTATAGGTTTTAAATTATTTTCCTTCAATAAATATCCATAAAAATAAAAGTTAACGATCTCTTTCATGCTTTTTAAAGGAGAAAGCTGTACCAATTTAAGCACCCATATTTTTTAAGCTCTGTGTACTGAACGGTGGTGTACAAGTCTTAAAGTACAAAAGTGACGCAAAGGCTCAAGGCACGTAACTAAAAGTGAATCGTGAAGTTAGTCTACTTCATAAGTAATTAATGAGCATTAGCAATGTATGAAGAGACTCCCTTGCTACACTGAGGCCGCAGCTTTCAAAGCAGTACACAGGCAATTATTTTCCTCTTAAGTCTTATTACTTTCTTCCCAGTCATCTAATATCTATGGCACTTTCAGCATTTATATGGTCTATTTTTCCTCAAGATTGTCCTGTGTTCAAACATCCCCAAAAGATGTCTGACTTTTCTAATGTCTACAAAGGTAAAGGTTGCTTGCTGTCCTTCATGGAGAAGTGTGACAAAAGATGGCGCACAGAGAAGGAAGCTAAGTGGCCCTGGCCAAAGCTGGAAAGAGGTAAAAGGCCTCCTTTATTACACTTAGTACTTCTGGGGAGAGGACACATCTATCTTGGGTTCTCTTTCTTAAAAGCAAAATATAATGTTCAAATAATCCATGTTCATTCTATAAAAAATTAGAAAATACAGATAAACTAAAAGAAAAATTAGAATCACCCATAATCTGTTCCTCCACGCAGAAACGGAGATGGGCTTTCCACTGAATTCTGAGCTGGCTGTCATTTTCTCCCTGCTGAGGTTTGGAGCGATTGACTAAATTCTCAGTCCCAACCTCTTAGGATTTACTTCTGCCCATCAGTTATCTCCCGTTTATTTTACAACTTCCATCTGTTCTCTACCAGATGCCAAAGAATCATCCTGTAGTCTTGCTGTGACTAAACACACAAACAAAATTCTCCAAACTTGGTATGATCCTATTTCCCTAAGAAACTATCTACTTCACTCACCATTCCTGGATGGTTGCATTTTTGTCAAGTACATTCTGTCTTGCTGTCTCTATTTTTTACTTACCCACAACACCCATTTGACCATTTGCAACCTGGCTTCCATCCCTGTGTGCTCTATTGAAGCTTCATTCTTGGAGGTCACCACTGAAGACTTAATTTCTATGTACAATGGTCTGTTCTCATTCTCAGCTTCCATGACTTTTTTTGTATGTGGACCAAGCCTCCCTCTGAAATATCTCTACCCTGGATTTCCACATTAATAATGCAGATACAATAACTGCATTCTATTTCTCTTAATTCCCCATCTCTGTGTCTCTTACTTCTAAATATCTCCTCTACCTGTATGTTTTTTTTTCCTCGTAATTTCATCTATTCCTATTGCTTCAAAACATCACCTCTAAATAGGGGAAATTCGAAATCTCTACTTTTATACTAAACTCATTCCACATGTCTAGATGTGTGTAATATATAGCCTACCAGTACCACTAACATTTCCCAAACAGAAATTCTACTACTCCGACCAGTTCCTTACTTTGGCTAAGCCTAACCAACTGGGCCCAGGTGACTAGACTCCATAGCTACTTCCTGTCTCTTGTCCCTCTGCAGTGCCGTGGACATCCACCCACAGCCATCCTCTGTCCCTATCCTTCTTAGTCCTTGCCCTCGTTATGAGTACACTGCGATCGCTTCCTCCACGGCCTCTTTGCCTCTAGTCTCTCCTCATTTTGACCTAGGACTGCCATATTATTAGCAAACAGCTCCAGTCGTCTCTGAACACCAGCTCATAAACCTTCAGAAGTGTCCCACTGCCTATCAAGAAAAATACTCCTCAGTCTGAAATTCAGGGCTTCATAACATGATCCTGGCCTTCTCTTCTATCATTAGCATCTCAGTACTAACATAATCTTTTGTGATTTTTCTCCCCTCCCTTTGAAACCCAACAGCCGTACTTCAAAGTTTCTTATGGCACAGAAGTTCTGATTTATAATATGATTAACTGTATATTTGTGTTCTTGCCCTCCAGGCAGAGTCATGAGCCCCAAATCTTGTAATTTGCTCTTTTCCTCCTCCAACCTACAGTGGTTGCAGAGGTTCTCAAGAAGCCCTCCCTCACTTAAATTCATCATTTCAGGACTTGGCTGATAATGCTTAAGGGGGAGAAGAGTAGAAAGAGGAGAATCAGGCAATTTTATTGGGTACTGTGTTAAGTACTTGACAAATAGAGATAGCATCTGACTTACTAGCATCACTGTGCCTGCCAAGGAAGAGAGAAAGGGAGGGGGGATACCCCAGTTTTCTTCTATCATTTCTCTTGACTCCTGATTTAGCTGCCTGGAACCCAGAATTCAAAGAATATGTTTCCAGACCCATGTTGACTCAAGCTCTCTTGATGGTAACCTCAGGATACCATGACTTGCAAAGAATTTTTATTATCTCCCCTCCTCCCCTAAACCCTCACACTCTCACATGAGGACTGCTGACCCTGCTAGACTACAAGAACATTTAATCTAAAATGTTAGACATTCCATTATTCACAAAAGAAGAACTTAATCACTGAAGTTAAACATTGGTGAGAAACTCAGGAAATCCTCAAGGAAAGAAAAATAAGATGTAGATGGTTTCCTGTCAGGTTTATGGAAATCTTTACCACACCGGGGACAGTCAAGTGCAGTGGTTAAAAGCCTCCTCCCCGCTACGACAAATCAGATGGATCTGGGTGCAAAGACTGCTTCTCTCACATACTAGTCTAACCTCTCTGAACATCTGTTTTCTCATCCTGAAGCAGGAGTAATCTTATTACTCTTAGATATGGGGCTTGTTACAAACTGTGCTTGTAGGAGTACTAATGACATGAGATTAGGAGAAAAATGCACCAAATCTCTACTTCCATCATTCCTTTTGCTTCTTGTCCAAGGAAAAACTCCAGATAACCGTGCCAGGAGAATAGCACTGAAAATCCCACAAAAAATGTGACTTTCTAGTTATAGTGAGAAAGTCCAGGACAGGACTCGTATGTTGAAAATTGTAGTTGAAATCATGGCCCTTCCTCCCTCTGCCCAGCCTTCCCCGGCTCCCCACCCACCTCCCTCCAAAAGGCATGAATATTTTAAAAATCAAAATGTCGTCTCCAGATGGAAAAGGTATTAAATGTTATAAATTAAGGTCTTCACAAGCCTCATCAGTATGTTTACATATGGCCTAAAGTATTTTATTTGAAGGAGATAAACAAAAACAAATGGCAGAAAATTTGTATATTCCTATTGGAACTCTTAAGCTATTGCTTTTCAGCCCAGATGAACTTCAAAAGCTTTTCCTCATTCAAAGCACCAAAGGGTTTAAAAACAAACAAAACACCTTTGTTTTTTAGGTCTGTTTCTTAAACTCACGTGTTTTTGGCTTGTCCATCCCGGAAGCACATTTGTCCCACCAATGCAGCAGACTGGTCCCCCAAACACTGGAAGTATAAGTGGTAATCAAGAACACTGACTAAGACAATATTATTTACTTCCTTTTTAGAAGAGCCATTGGATTTATTTTTCCTTTTTTGTCAAGGAATGAATTGATTTATGGTTTTTGCATTGCCTCAATTTGGCCATTTTCCCATTTGTTAATACCCCTATGAGATAACAGGTATGGGAAAGGAGAGTTAGAGCTCATTTATTCAAAAGATTCTCAATGGCTTACACTGTATCATATAAAAATAAGATTACAGGGCCCAGCCGGGTGGCGCAGTTGGTTAGAGAATGAGCTCTGAGCAACAGAGTCGCCGGTTCGATTCCCACATGGGCCAGTGAGCTGGGTCCAAACTGAGCTGCCAAAGGGTGGCTGGATGGCTCAGCTGGTGAGAGCGTGTGCTCTTAACAACAAGGTTGCCGGTTTGACTACCACATGGAATGGTGGGCTGTGCCCCCTCCCCCAACTAGACTGAAAAGCAGCGACGGGACTTGGATCTGAGCTTATGCCCTCCACAACTAAGATTGAAGGACAACAGCTAGACTGGGGGCTGGTGGGTCCTAGAAAAACACAGTGTTCCCCTTCCCTAATTCCTCAACACTGTTCCCTTCTCCAATACCCCAATAAAATCTTTTTTAAAAAAAATACAGTAAAACCTTGGTTTGCGAGTAACTTGGTTTGCGAGTGTTCCGCAAGACAAGCAAACACTTCTAACACGTTTTAACATGCTAAACGAGCGATGTCTTGCAATACGAGTAGTTTGTTTCCAGAACGAATTATGCTCGCAAACCAAGGTATTACGGTACCGGATTTTGCTGTTCTTACTCATTTTCCACGCTTTAGGAACAGGCAGATCGATGAAGATATAGGAGGAAAGCCATAACATGGAAGGGGTAGGGGGACGGAGGTAGCAGGGAGATGCTTGGGGATGAAACTTACCCCAGATATTGGCACACCTTCCAAGGCCCCAGCTTTCTAATAAAAATTTTAAAAAAAGATTATGAATAATCACAAACTGTTGGCTCTACTAACATAACTGCGACAGGAATGAACACGAACAGTGACATGCCAGAGCATGTGGGGTAGACAAGACAAAGCAAGTGTTTCAATTTCAACTGCATGAGTGATTCAGAGACAAGATATTAGAAGTATTCCCAGAATGACAAGAAGAGACATGGCATTGGAAAATGGACATGAAACATTGGACTTGAAATCAGGAGACGTGGGCCCTACTCCTGGTTAGTGTTAAGCCAACTGGGCAGGCCCCTGAAACTTGTCTATGCCTCAATTTATTTATTTACAAAATGGGGCCTGGGCTACATAAACGCTGAAGTCCATTAGCACTTTGCTATTACTGCCATTACTATGAAAAGACTAAGACCTTCTTTCAAATGAACATATAAAGAGCTATCAAACTAGCACTGAACTTATTTTACCACCTAATTCTTCCTACCTTAATTGCTCTTAGGTAAGAAACACAACAGTGTTCAGGTACTGGGTACTAGTTGTTCATAGCCAACATCATTTCTTCAAGTTTAGATAGGCAAGAGTTCATTTATGTCATGAATAGTGGTTTTAATTTTGATCAAGTAAGGCCAGCATTCCAGGAAGAAAATTGAGATTTAAGTAGCTAGCTATGTACTTTACCAAACTTGTTTTTAAAGAAACATACACTAACACCAAGAGATTTGCCCTGGGATTAAGGAATTCGGCGAAAGGAATGTGATCCGTGAAGTAGCTGTGACCAGAAGCTTTGGACCCACCCCTCAGTCTACCATTTGTGGGCCAGTCTCCTGGCCTTTGGGAGCATGTGGCTCCCTATCTGTTAGAGTGAGGGTAAGAATAGAGGCCGCCTCACATGGCTCTCATGATAAGGAAATACTAGCATACATGTGGAAACCCTTGACAAAATAGAGAACACCCTCAGATAGCCGATTTTATTTCTTCCATGCTTTCTCGTTAATTCAAGGCCTGCTATTTTAATTTACTGTATATATTCTTAGAAAACCTGAACCTGGATATTAAGTGAAGGGTAAATTTCATAAAGGGCTGAAAATGAACCAGTAAGAAACCTAGAGGCTGTATATCTTAATATATTTAAATACTAAAGAAGTCTTTGCTTATACTATTGACGTTATTATTAAACTACCAGCAGGAGCTACTATGTGCAGTCTGGCATGGAAACGTATTCCTTTTCTTCACAGGGGTGGGTCTCTGGAGGGTTCCTGGGAACATCCTCTAGTGAAGCATGCAGAAAAAGTGACAGTGCATTTCCAACTAACTGGTCTGAAAGGATGGTCAGGATAGACTTTTAGGATATTTAAAAATTACATCTAATTCCCCTATTATGCTAAATCCTAAAAACATATCGCAACTGTACTTTGCAATAGGGACATCGGAATTTCTCATGCCAGGAAACTACTTATAATCTTTTATTTTGAAACATCTTTCTCAGTCTTATGGAACACTTAAAAATAAACAAATAAGTTAAAAAAAACCCTAAAGCTTGACTAGAGCTTATAATAATTTGAAGGGTCATAGAGATGCTAGATAGATTGTTTAGTAAATGGACTTCTGCTTGTTTAAAACTAAATGGAAATGCACTGTATCTTTTCCAAATGAATGGGTAGCATAATTGGTGGGCAACCTACTCACCAGGCTATGAGAGATTTTCTATAGTCAGCAAGGGGGAAAAAGGGGGGACAGAAGCATAATATTTTAAATGCAAGAGAAAACTAGACCAGTTACATGTTTTTTCAACCATCCTCTGAAACTGTTTCAAGAATAGATTTTTTTTTCTCTGACCCAATTCAGTTTGTAGACAGCTATGAAATCATTGAAGCACTTTTACTGTAGATAACCAGTGACCATCCCCTAAAAAATTCCATGTTGCCTTAAAAGGCTTTATTATGAATGAAACATTTAAGAATTCTTGCTCAAGCTTTACCCAGAGAATTTAGGGTTCAACTCTATTAGCATTAACTCTATATAGAGTTCCTAATATTTGCCATGTAATGTCTAAATATTTTTTTTGCAATTTACCTTGGATGCATTAAGTATTAATCATCAATTCCAGGTTTTTATGCTCAAACACCAGTTCCAATCCTCCTAGAGCTTTTTTATCTCTGATGTGTAATCAGGGATACTCAATGATGTTAAGCATATTTTTTTCTGAGACCACGTTTTCCCTGAGTTTCAATGAAAGCAACAGTAAAAATGTCCATTATGGAACCCAGTTTAATTAGCATTCACAAATCAGAAAGACTCTTTGCTTTCAGTTTCTTTGCTCAAGTTTTGCTCGGGCTGACAAAGAATCTAATATAAAACATTGTTTGGCCATTAAAAGAGATTCAACAGGAAAAATAACACCACTAAAATGTGAAGAGACCCCTCGTCTAATGAAAGGCAGACACCACAACTACTAAACAATCATTTGAATTAAAAGAATAAACTGGCTCAAACATTCCTATGCCACCCTCTATAGTTAGATTATACCAGTAATGCTTCAAAAGTATAATACTCAGAGAAAAGCCAATTAAAATTTATAAAATATAAAATCAATTGGTAAGAACTCTAAGGTTTTTAAGTTATAAAACTAAACAATACTAAATTCTTATTTTACATACTACCAACATTCACAGAAAAGCACAACTCTCAAACTATCAAATGTAACACAACTGACTTTTAAGTTCTGAATACTAAAATTTTTTTAATGAAATTTTTAAATTTCTTTTTACCATTAGGCCATAGATCTCAGAAGAACTCCGGACATTTGGAAGAATTTTCTTTGGAATACCAAAAAATCTGAAAAATAAGATAAGATTGGGTATTTAATACTATTTTAGGGGCCGGCCAAGTGGCTCAGTTGGTTAGAGCAGTGCTCCTAACAACAAGGTTGCCGGTTCGACTCCCACATGGGATGGTGGTCTATGACCACCTGCAACTAAGATTGAACACAGCACCTTGAGCTGAGCTGCCTTGAGCTGCCAATGGGCAGCTAGATAGCTTAGTGGTTACAGCGTGCGCTCTTAGCAAGAAGGTTTCAGTTCCACTCCCACACGGGATGGTGGGCTATACCCACCCTCAACTAGGATGGAACACAGCACCTTCAGCTGAGCTGCCTTGAGCTGCTGATGGGCGGCCGGATGGCAACTGGACTTAGAGGTGAGCTAGCTGCGCCCTCCATAACTAAGATTGAAGGACAACAACTTGGCTGTTCCCCTTCCCCAATTCCCCAACACTGTTACCCTTCTCCAATTCCCCAATAAAATCTTTAAAAAAATATATTATTGGGTCATTGGCAAAGTTATGATGCATTTTTGCATTGAAAAACAAAGAAAAATATGTCATGACTTTCCCGACGACCCAGTATTTTAAGTAAATATCTGGAAACATTTATATGCATTTAAAGGCAAAAAAAAGTAAGTAACAATTAGTAAATGGATGGATTTGAGTATAGAATTAAACAATAACAAATAAATAAGCCAACATAGTTGTATGACTGGATGTTTAACATTCTAATTTTATACAAACAAATCAATAAAAAATTAAAAAGCACATAGAAAACAAAGTAATTTTCTAAAGGAACCTAATCTTCCTTGGAGAATAATCAAGACAATTACTTAATTTGGCATGTTTAGTGTATATGCAACAATAATCTCTCTTAAGAGAACACACAACACAGACTTGTGTATTGTTGTTGAAATACCAGCAATTAAAGTTTGGTGTTCTGCTGACATCTTAGAAGAATAAGATTTAGGTTATAAATAGGTAACGTACTTGGAAAACTATTCTTAGTGGGAAAATACAACTCACTGGCAGAGGTCTTTATCCCATTCCAAAGAATGAATGTTGAAAAGCATCGTCCTGCTCGCATTTGTTACATCTGTACAGTGAACACCTCCATTGGCTCCTCCTGTCAAACTCTAGACAGAATAAAAAGGACATGTTAAATTTGTACTTATTTGCAATTTAATTTACATTTTGTTAAGGCCCATAATGAGCAGCAGAGCACATAAAACAGGAGAATGGAACATTTCAATTACTTAATTTTCTAGTTTTCAGCAGTGCTCAACAGAAATATAGTGCGAGCTCCATTTGTAATTTAAAATTTCTCTAATAGCTACATTTAAAAAAAATAAAGGTGAAATTAATTTTAATAATACTATATATTTTATTTCACCCAATATATCCAAATATCCTTTCAAAATAAAAATTATTACTGAGACATTTTATTTTATTTTATTTTTGAGTACGAACTCTTTGAAATACAGTATATATTTTATATTCACAGCACATCTCAATTCAGACCAGTCACATTTCAAGCGCCCAATAGCCATAGGTGGCTAAAGGCTATGATATTAGACAGTACAGTTCTAGTTAATTGATAGTTAAACAAACAAACAAAATCAGTTTTGTTTTCATCCTCTTATTTTTGGAAAAAGCAGTCTTACTAAATTTGGCAAAGTGAAGAACATTGAAAAGTCCGCCTTTTCAGGATCTTACTGAATCTTGTTGGTGCTGCCAGTGTTTCTTTTTGGGTTTGTTTTGGAATAATAGTTCTCACTGGGATGTGCCTGCACTGACCCAAGCACTTATCTTGAAAGCAGAGTTTTAAACTCTCTAATGTTAATATCCTCAGACCAGAACTGAAAGCACTGCTGCTTTCATTTATGTGGAAGCAATGAGGTAAGAAAAGGAACAAAAAAATGTGGAAAAGACATCACATGGGGGGTCCAGTCAAATGCGCTTCCTTGAGTCTCCTGCACAGTTCCCACATCCTGCCTTACTCTGGTTCCAGGCAATTGTCAGAACTATTTCAACTGTGACTGACACGTGTGAAAACGACTGGCCATGAGCACAAAGCACAGCCTGCGCTGGGCTTGGAGGGAGGGAGGGAAAGAGAGAGAGAAATGAATGTGTGTACACAAGGTGTGCTTCTCAGATAGTGGTTTTCAAGAACCTGCTGTGTGCGTCTGGTTGGTAAGAATATGGACAATATTCCCTTGAAGCTCCCTGAATGTTGAAAAAATACTGAAGTATTTACAAGAGAAATTATATGTCTGGGATTTGCTTTAGAATTATCTGTGGGGAGAAAGAGTATGCAAGTATAGATGAAGCAAGATTAGCCATTGTTGTTTGCTATAACTGGCTCACTGTTGTAGAGGTTCATTAGACTATCCCCTCTGCTTTTGGGTGTATTTGAAAATGCCCATTAATAAAAATAACAGAGAGAGAGTGAGACAGCGAGAGGGAGAGAGAAAGGGAAAACATGTACTTCTAAGATATATCTGGGGAATGTCTGAAATGTTAACGTCTACTTACCCATGTTCACCTTAGGCGAAAAGGTTATACATCAGAAATTTCCACCAAGATTTTCCATTTTATGGCTTAATTAAATAGGAGACAGCAGTGTAATGTTGAAAGCGAATTATAAAAGTGGCCTAGATGTTTTAGCATGTTAAATAGTTATTTCTTCGAAGAAATGGCTAATGGGAAAGCATGATAGGCAAGAAAGAAAGGCCACCTAAATAAATTACTAATTACCTAAGTTACTTATTCTAAAGATAATAGATATGAGATATGGTTTTTAATCATACACCATTTTTACTGAAATAAGGCAAGAAACAACAGAGGAAGTAGACAGAAATGCCTCTCAAATGGAGGCTAAAATATTCTGTTCCTTGAGGGGCTTTTCTGAATGCTGCCAACTAAAATGTTTGAGCTCTTATTAGAACACAGATAGTAGGCAAGGCAGTCTAAAAAATTTTCTGAAAAAATTTCTCCATACACATGTTGCACATAAACATACCCAAATAAGCCATGAATCAATGGTCCCAAAAAGAGCTCTATCTTCTCTAACAGCCTTTTGAACTTTTTCCACGTTGTCAAGGAGCCAACGAAGTTTCACCGCACTGAAGTAAGTGCTAAGTGGAAGGCCTGTCTTGGACTAAAAACAGGAAATTCAGCCAGCAAATGAAATTCATAACAGCTCAAAATAAACAACACAACAAACCGAAAGACTCAACAAATCACAAAACATTCAATGGCCCGAAAGGCAATCCCACGGTTATTACGGATAAAAATGCTTTTCCTGTCTCATGACACAGGAAAGCATGATCATGAACAAAGATCAGAGTGGTATGTTTGCAGTTCAAAGGGCATCCACGTAGCAAGGCAAAGAGAAAATTAAATGACCCAATGCCCTGTAACCTAGATAGTGAAGAGTCCATGTTAACTCTCGTAATGAGTTAGCATTAACCTAGTCCAAAACTCTGCTTTTTATTTCATATGCCATGAAAGTGATATTTAAACTATTGACAATCAGAGAGTCTATCAGATCATAAAACGAATGACCATAACCAGAAAATGTTGTTTTAAAACATATATGCGTAAGACTTAACATTATATTTACCTGTGTAAAAACCTATATTATAAATTACATGTACATATTTACACACATTCATATTCAAATAACATAAAATTAGTGGGGAATAAAGAAGAACTCAAAGACATGCCAGATTAAAGCAACAGAGTTGCTCTGTGTAAGAAAGTAGCTGCCTAAATTCAGCGAATACATTAAACGAAGGGAGAGTGGACTGAATAAAGGTTAAAGGGTAATAATGAAACACATAAGGGCTTAACCATCTTTCTTGAGAATGGATCAGGACCAACTCTTATTTTTGTTTGTATATTAAATACCAAATTTATTTATAAGGGCTGACGGAAGTGGCTAAGAAAATACATACATCAAAATAATGCAACCATCTTTCCTCTCCCTTCCCAACCCCTAGTCTTCTCATCTGTCACCTAACTACAGCAAGTGATACCTTTTTCCTTCTTCTGTCCTATGGATATGTTTGGTAAAAAAACCCATACCAAAGGATTTAATGCTTTAATGCAACTTGTATGTTAAGAATCTTAACTCACACTTTTCTAGCTTTCCTAGAAAAAAAAAGATCAATGATCAAAAATAATGAAAGAAGGGGCGGTCGGTTGACTTGGTTGGTTAGAGTGCAATGCTCATAACATCAAGGTTGCCGGTTCGATCCCCACATGGGCCAAGGAGCTGCGCCTTCCACAGCTAGATTAAAACAATTACTTGACTTGGAGCTAATGGGTACTGGAAAAACACACTGTTCCCCAATAAAATTGAAAGAAAAAAAACGAAAGGAAATCATTTATGGGAATATTCTTCTTTGATTTGAAGGTCCAAAGGTCATTCCACAAAGCTAATAGTGAGGTAGTACACAACATCTCGTTTTCATGATTTAGATAGTACAAAAGTTGCCTAAAATGGCACTGGAGAGAAAAGCATGCATCCCTTGAAACAAAGTGCAGCTGGAGGTGGGGGTGGAGGAGGGCTGGGCAGGGTGACAAAGAGAACAGAATAGGAAATGGTAAGGGTATAGTCAGGACTAGCCTGAAGTTATTTGGGCAGCTGGGGAGCAGGGAATGGCTTGTTAAACTGCTTAATTCACACCAGTTTCAGAACCAAGGTCCACAAGAAACTGCCCTCAGAGGGGATAAGCCAAAAACCAGAAGGAATTAGATACTAGGAGAATTTGGCCTTTTCTTGCTAGGAAAAATACCTTGCCTGTTCCAAAAGTTCTCTCTCCATTTATCTGTCTATATATCAGGACTAAAAATTAGGCAATTTTTATTAGCCGTCTTCATATGAAGAAAGTGGAAGGAGAGTTCAATGAAGTGTCTTCTACTTTCTCTCCCTGAATCCAGATGCCTAAAAACTCAAAAGCACCCAGAACTTTCTTTGATGGATAGTAGAAAACAAGAGGGGTGGATTTGGAAAGCAGGGTTGAATTACAGGACAAACCCCCTCCCACCCCCCCTTGGACAGTATGGTTTAAACCACAGGAATACTTTTTAATCCCCTCCAACCTACCATCCTTGGAATATTATCCCTCCAATCCACCACAGGGCAAGGAAGACAGGAAGGTAAAGATTTGAGTTGCCCTCAGTTATCTGCAGAGAAATACTCCATAAATTGTATCAAACAACTGCTGTGAAATAAGACGGAAGGTCCAAATAGTCTTTCTGGTGAAATCTCTAATCTCTTTTTATAAAAACAAACATTCATATAATTATACTTTTGAAGAGATCTCTTACCTTGACAAAGTTATTATTTCCCGGAATTCTTTTACTAAGATTCTCAACGGTAGACTGGGTTCTTAGATCGAGCCACACTATAGACCAAAATATAATAATATATATGAAAAACTTCATTAAAAAACTCAGACCTTAATGAAATCACTGTTGAGGTCAGAAGACTGATTAGTTTCCATAAGCAATTAAAATGCTATAGCTTTCAAAAGACAGAAATTAGAAAATTAGAAATGAATGGGCATATTGTTAGAAGAGAATAAATTTATGAGGGAGAATTTAAAGCTTTTATGCAAAATCACAGACCAAGTTAGGAGAACAATACAAACCTTAGGGCACTGATTTTGTATCCTTTTTGTAGAAAAAAAAATGTTTTGGATATGGATTTTTTAAGCATCCATGAGTGCAGAGAAAATCTAAACGCTAGGCAAGCTAGTTGCCAGGGAGGAATACACAACCCAGAATCACTGTACCGTGTATAAAAGCAAGTATCTTTGAAAACTTGTAAACAATTTTGACAAAGTAGAGAACCTGATACTATTATTGAGGGAAAAAATAATAAGTTTCAATCTCTCATGTATGAAATGCTTTAACTCTTTCAAAGTAGGCAAGAATCTGGAATCGTTAAAAAAATTATTTCACGGGATGGCCAGTTAGCTCAATTGGTTAGAGCACAGTGCTCATAACACCAAGGTTGCNGGTTTGATCCCCACATGGGTCACTGAGCTGCGCCCTCCACAGCTAGATTGAAACAACTATTGTACTTGACTTGGAGCTGATGGGTCCTGGAAAAACACACTGTTCCCCAATAAAATTTAAAAAAAATTATTTCACTATTGTTTTCCCATGCTGGATTGTAAAAGAAAAAAAAATCTCCATTTTAACAGATCAACACTATTTTTAACTAAATAACTATCATACAGTTTCTGATCTCTTAGTAGAAAGCATTTCTGTTCTGCTTCATGACAAAAAGCTTGAGAAAGAGAAGGCGTTAAATAGTACATAAAGCAATTGTGAAAGGTAACTAATAGGATCAGCTGAGCTTTATTTGCCAGATTATACATGCTTGGCTACTACACAGGTGAATGCCAACAAGTTACTGTCTAGTTTGGGTCACCCTTAACTATATTATTACTTTCTCTTCATGTAAAAACCAGTCTAATTCCTGTAGTGAATTTGAATCAATTCTAATTACTTAAAAAGTCATTCCCCTTGAGCACTGTCTGTGCTTGATTTTGACAGTGGCTATTGCACCTGAGATTTAAATAGTGCCTTCAGGACACTCTTCTGGTTTCCACAGGTAAAGGTGATATCTGCATTTTCTGCCCAGCATCCATTCCTCTTGCTACCGGGAGCAGTATCTCAAGTTCTCTTTAGGAAAAGATCCCTCCCTCAATCTCAGCCAAATAGTTTGCCTGAGATTCGACCCCACCTCCAGCTCGTCTCCTGTCCTGACCCCAGAGATCAGTTCAGGAAGAGAGCATGTGGTCTAATCAGCCAAAGTGAGATTTTGCTCAGTCTGCAGGAGTCCCTCTTCTTAGCTCAGCTTGGCAGTTTGTGGCTGGGGCCTGCTGCCCTCATGGAGAGACAGCTGAATTGGCCACACCCAGAGCCATCCCAGGAAAGACAGACTTGTGGGGATACAGGTGACTGAGGCCGGAATCAAACAGCACCTGGACGAAGCTACTCTTAGATTACTGTTTTCATGAGCAAATTTCCTTTAAAAAAGTTTTTCATTTATTGTCAGGGTTATCACTTTGTGAGGTGTGTAAATGTGTAATCATGTTGTTTTGTACGCCTGAAACTAATAATAAACAAATAAATATAAAAAAATTTCATTTAGTGTGGTTGACTTTTCTATTACAGTAATACCTTGGTTTGCAAGCATAATTCGTTTCGGAAACAAACTACTCGTATTGCAAGACATCACTTGTTTACCATGTTAAAATGTATTAGAAATGTTTGCTCGTCTTGCCAAACACTTGCAAACCAAGTTACTCGCAATCCAAGGTTTTACTGTATTTGCATTGTGATCGAAACAAGCCATTGGCAGCAGCATCGTGGAGTTGGCAAGATCTCCTGTGTCCAGGGAACAAGGGTGGTCCACTTTTTACATAGTGGCAGTATTGTAAGACTGTGACAATAGTGGGCTTTCCTCACGGGCAAGCGATCCCAGCAGGTATGAATGGCTTAACAGGAGTAATTGGAAAAAACAGAGGAATTTGAGAGAAAAGTTTAAAATCTGTGAAGGGTACAATTGATAAGCACATCTCAGTCCTCAGTGTTTCAAACTATGGTGAGCTAGATAGAGGTTTAAAATCAATTTAGTGAGTTGATGACCTACTTTTAAAAAATGAAATAGGATAGATTAGAATGGAAAATATCAGACAACTCGGTAAGCACGGACTTGTGAAACTTGTTTTAGTTCTGTGGGTTTGCTGACTCGTGATGTAAATATGTATTTCTTACCAGGATGTGAACAACAGACATGAAAGCCATTGCTCTAGGCTTTTTTGTTTAATGACTCAAAGCCTTCTAGATCAGCATACTTCTATATTTTAATGGACACAACAATCACTATGGAGCTTAAAGATGACCCTAGAAATTCTAGGATACTAGGTCTTGGGGGGGAGGGGCAGAAATGTCCCTTTTACATAGGTGCCCCTTTAAGAAACACTGCTAGACTCTACAGCAGTTGCTTTTACCTAGAAAGCACACCAGAACCACCTGGAAAACTTTGAAATCACACATCCCAGGCCCTGCCTTGCAGGATTCTGGTTGCAGGTCTAGGCAAGGAAGTCCTGAGACTAATTTTGTTATAAGCGTCCCAAGTTATTCAGTATTAGACTAGAACTTGAAAACCTCCTCTCTAGGGCAATTTCCTTAGGATACTGGATTTGTTCCAATCATTTATTCAAAAACAAAACTAAAGACAAACTGACGATCCGGTAGCTCCCTGAATCCCCCTGGCTCTGGGACTCTTGCTCCTTGACAAGGACCACATAAGTAAGGAGGCACTTGGCTCCTCACTTGAAAGCTTACAAGTATCCACAGTGGTGTCTGCAGAATTAACCCCTCAGCAGACTCAAAACACTGGATGTGAAATCAGGAGACTGAAGTTCTATGTCTTCTGGCTTTGCCACCAAGCTATGTGACTTGAGCCAGCCATTTTACCCTCTGTGGCCTGGATTTCCCAAATATGAAATAAGGCAGTTAACAAGATGGCTTCTAAAGTCTCTCTCCTTCCGTTATTCCACAATCACAGAATGCTGGCATAATATTTACTTTTTGTTTTTTACTAGCCCAGGAGTTTAAGGCAATTAGAATACATGGACTGAATTAGTAAGACTGCCAAAGAGGAAAAAAAATGTCAGTGGCTGGTACACTACCAAGCAATTCACAAATGCTCAACATTAATTAAATTAAGAACAAAACAATTAGAAAACTCATTAAGGAAGCTAAGATGGCAGAATTAGATGTGCAGAACGAGAGACCAAAAGCCAAAAAAAAAAAAAAAGACCCCAAGCTGGAGGACTAAGCCCCTTGTGGAGGTAATTTCTGAGAATAATCAGATCAGATCCAGCGGCAGTGGTCCATTTCCCCCAGCATGTCTGAGTTGGAAGGCCGGGAAGCGAGCGAGAGCCAGAGCACCGATACCTGAGGAAGTGCCAGCAGCTGGAACTGAAGAGCCAGAGGGAGCAACGGCAACTGGATCTGAAGGGCCAGGAGAAACTGGAGCGGCTGGAGTATTAGGAGAAATAATGGCGATTCATGCTAGAGATGGCCAGGTTCAAGGTCTGTGTTCTCTTGTTGCCCACTTAGGAAATGGCAGCTGTCTTGGGCACGTTCATGAAAATGAACACTTTTCTACACATTTGAGTGTAGAAAAAGAAGAGACACGGAGTAGAAGGGGAGCAAAGGCAGTCTAGTCAGAGTCTCTGGTTCAATAGTATTTCCATTTGAACAAAGACCAGGTAGACACCTGCTCATTGTTCAGGATGACTCTTCCCTACCTGGCCACATGTCTGCGACCTACTTAGAAAAGTAGTTCAGTTGGTTATTGAGTGCTCAGCAACCCGCTGAACTGAAAGACTGTGTGATGGAGTGAGTGAGCACCTTCATAGAGGATGCTGGAAAGGAATGCTGAGGAACGTGTCACAGTCTCTTTTGGGGTCATCTGCAGGAAGGCATGACAGGGCTACTTTGGGAAGACACGGCCCCAAGAAAGCACTTCCCTGGTGGAGTGGCAGGAGGTGAAGGCCATGTCCACAACAAAGGAGCATGTCCAGAGGGAACAGGGAATTGCTAAGTTCTGAAGTGATTTAAAAATAAATAAGAAGGAAAATAAGACGCTAGGGAGTCCAGAACATTATGCAGCCTGCTTCTAGAAGGAATGTCCCTTGTTTAAACCAAGTAAATTGGATTTAAATTGTTCAGACCACTAAATGAATAGGTTAAAAAAAACCAACTTGGATGATCTGAAACTTTCATTTGTATTAAATAAAGTCACATCCAATACGTCTGCTCGATTTGGTTTGTTCTGGAATACAAAGTTTTTAGAGTAAAGAGAAATGCAGTTCCCTCAATGTCCACGGACCAGGGCGGGGGGGGGGAGTTAGTTTAGTGATGTAGTAACAGCACAGAGGAAGAAATGTTTTAGAATATTTAGAAATCTCCATTACTTTTGGTTAGTCATAAGAATAAAAGGGAAAAGTACGTAAGGAAATATATACACTAGAGATCATCTAAATTATTTTTAGTTGACTGAAGCAAAGGCAAATAATACATCTCCTCTGAGATGGTTTGTTATCAGGAGTTCCTGGCCTAACGGGAAGAAAGATGGAGGGGAGGCTCCGAGTTATAGAGCACACCCTAAGCAAAGGTTGCTGACAGGTACACAAAGTGTTAGCGGGTTCTTTCCCCCACAAGAGACACAATAATAGTAAACCAGATTTAATCGCCGTGTGTTACCACTTGCCAAAAGTTAAGCTGTTAATTAAGCTGGGTAAGAGGTTGCTTCCAAAGGGGAAAAGACTCAATCGATGACTGTCCCTGATGACATTTTCAGAAATCAGGTGGGGGCAAAGAAAAACATGGAGAGCGGGCAAGGAGGAGGAGTTGAAATATATATGTATATGCCAAAATGTGAGGGCTGAAACCTATTCCAGCTCTTAGATGTATAAATGCTAAAGTGCCAATGACTGACTTGAGTGTGTGTGACCCCAGGAAGGCTCTGCATTTGCCCTAAGGACACCTGACATGTATAAATCAGTCACTTCATCTGGCGTTCCAGGGTTAAAAAGGTTATCAGCTAATTCAGAACAGTGGCCATGGCTAATATTTACTGAAGCCTTATTGTCTGCCAGGCACCGTTGTGAGTACCCTATTTGCATTAACTCATTAATCTCCACCTCAAGCCTATGAAGTCCATACTTTTAATTTTTCCAGTTTAACTGTCAAGAGAACAGGCACAGAATGGTAATAAGTGGGAAAGCCAGGATTTGAACCCAAATTCTGAATCCAGAATTAAGCCTCTATGACGTAGGTATGGCCAGGATGACTTTATAGTCTTAAACAGAATATGAAGAAATATTAAAGATTGGAGACCTCCAAGTCAAAATCTAATTCAGTTTTTTTTAATTTAGTCTGGTTAGAGGTAAAGAATCCAATCATTGCAAAATATGGCAGTATTTCTTTACCAAGAACTGAAGGAGACATGAGGTATTTAAAGAACCATGTAATACCCCAATAAAATCTTTTAAAAAAACAAAAACAAAAACAAAGAACCACGTCATAAAAGACTTGAAATAATGAAAAATAAGTGGCTCTTCATAAAGCTGAATATTCTAGATTTTATGAAAGCAAAAAATCCGCAAAACAATGAAAACCAAACTACACCTTTGTTGTTTAAGGCCAAGTATTCTTAGGAGTTTTAGATGGTTTGCCATCTATGGTCGTCTTTCATGCTCATACTTTGAAACAACCCAGTTCCAGAAAAGACTTAAAACGCTGAGCTCAAAAGTCCTTCAGTTCTCAACAGATGATCGCACAGGCTTAATCATTGGTCCAGGATTAACCACCATGTACAAAGTTTTAAAAGGCAAGGAGGATAAGCCATGTTTAAAATTGTAACACTCCACATAAAGGGTTCTGTGTCACGAGGAACTTTAAATCTATCTTTGGGAAAAGTGTTTGCAATACCCTTTAAACAAAGAAACATGGTTCAGAGACAAATGATTTTTGTTGGTGGTTTTCTTCAATATATCTTTAGTAGATTGGTCACTGATTCAGTTACTTAAATCAGTGACTCTTGCCTCCCTGGATCTTAGTCCTTCCTATGAATAATTTTTTACATTAAAATCCTGAATTGTGCTCTACAGAAAGCTACTGCAGTGAGAGTCATATTGCACACCAAGAAGGGGGAAACAGTTGGACCATCCTAGTTAGGCCAGAATATTTTACTGGTGGCATCAATGACGTGTATATATGAACGCTGTAGATATTGATTCAAGCCTTCCCCCACTTGACGTCTGAACCACTTGGGAAGTTTTGTGCTTCTTCATCAGTTTACTCTGCGGTGTATTTGTAAACCCAAACCTTTTTGTTTGTTGTTCAATAATATTTAGACACCAAGGTATGTAGATCACTAATAGAGTTCATTTGGGAAAGAAAAGGGCTTAAAACATGGCCGGGGTAAGGTGGCGGGAACTCTTCAGAAAAGAATATTGATGAAAATAATGGTAAGAGGGGGAGAGAAAAGTACCAGAGGGATGAGAATAACTGAAGACAGGCAAAGAGAGCAGCCAAAGGCCTGCTTCAGACCTGGGGTCACAAAGCTCCTGCAATCCACCTGTGAGGTCATAATAGTAAATGGCTGTGTCATGGCATAGTAACTGGGAAGCAGTGACACAAACGGACACTTCTTCATTTTAGATACTACACCAATGTTTACCTCACTCATCACAGAATTAACACAAATTCTAAAAACATATGAAGCTTCTGACAGGGCCATCTGTGCCTCAGTGGACCCATTTCAACTTTTTTTTTCTATGCTTATAAATTGTATCTGTCATAAAAGATGTCAGCATCCAAACACACGTTTATTGCAAGCAAAAGCAAATAGCCTTTCTCAGTCTTCAACGAGTGTATTTCATGTCCACTAATACTACCCTAAAATTCTCCTATCTCTGTTACTGTACTGGGGGTGAGTGAGCTGGCTGCTTATCAAGGACCCCTGAGCCATAAAAAAGGCCACACAAAAGGCAATTTAAAAAAAAAAGAGGGCGGGCCGAGTGGCGCGATGGTTAAGAACTGGCTTGGGACGCCAGAGGGCCCTGGTTCGGATCCCACATATGAGGGCCAGTGACA